TTCACCGTGAATAATATCATCGACAGCTTGGGCTCGTAACGTGGGTTTAGTCCCGATTGAGCGGAGCGATGGGGAACTCCATTCGTGCTCATCAAAAGCGCGCAGTGCCGTGTGGGGCGGGCATCTTCCCTTGAATGCCAGTTACACCGTTTGTCTTCCCGGGGAATCCGATGTTCCCTGAAGACGAGCTCGGGAAGGAGGGGGGGTTCAACCAACTGGAACAGTCTTACGAGGATGACGACTCAGATGATATGAGCGTGAGTATCCAAGTCCGCGCTGTGTCTTGGACTAAGGTGAGCCTCACAATCGGCTACGACCCGTAGGGATGCCTCTTTCAGGTAGCACTGGAACTTACGATGGGGTCATCATCTGAACAGCCGAGCAGTAGCGACGGAGCGAGCTGATGAGCATCCTGGGGGGGATGACTGATAGAGTATGACCCGGTCAGTAGGCTGGTGTTGCGGCACTAGGCTTCCTTCATATAAGTGATCATCTGCAACAGACTGGAGCATAGGTAACCTATGATAGGTTCCATCTGTTACCAACGTGCTGGACTTGAATTATGTTCCTGGCCAATTTCAACACTCCGATTTCGGTTCGAGTCATGGCCAACTAGTGTGGTTTAATGAGGTCGTCTCGGTGAGCTATCGTCTCCTTCAGAACGTCTCAAGCGAGAGTATGGAGTTGGGGGACATCCTCCAAAGGGACATATGGACAGGACCATTGAGCTACTCCGTTTGGCAAAATGAGAAAGCGATGGATTCATCACAATGAGGAAGGTGATTTCTACCAGATGCTGCCCCGACACAACAATTAGTCGCTGAAAGATGGGCTTCTTGGGAACTCTGATGCACAATAAACCGATGTTATTATTTGTGAGTCCCGTGGGAACCCGAAGATGCAGCGGTCGTTGGCATGGGATTGAGTGCACTACCTCTCAATTCAGGGTTTCAATATATATGAAACATGTCTTTTTGCTTCCAGAGTGGCCCATTGGACCAGGTGCAGACCGTACGGATATCATGTGCTGTCATAAGCTGTATTCACGGTCTGAAAGAATTCCATCACCGAGAGCAAATTGGACAAACCGACTGTCACGCGTTACTCATCAATGCATTGCTTCGATCGGAGCCGACCCCCGGCGAACTCATCAAATGCATTGCGACGGTCTGGTCGGAATCTAGAGCAGCTTACGAATCTGCCTCATTCCATTTCCTGCTGCCCGGGATGTCCCCATTGAGAGCGGGTATTGCGGAGGACCGGTATAGACTCGGTCAGACGTGCACCCAATGCTACCGACTACATCTGGCGCTGGAGGAGCTGGTTGAGGACCTCAACTTGAGGTCCTCAAACTGTTCGCCTCGGTCTTGGGAGGTGGAACGACATTTAGAGGCGGCCCAGTAGTTGGCGGTTCAGGTCCATCGCCAAAATCCGATGGAGTCTCCATCATGGAGATATATCCTCCTTTGCATCATTGGGATATGCGAATATACTGTCACCAGTCAGCGACAATCCTACGATGAGGTTGATAGGAGCTAGCGCTGTTGGCCTCTTCCCTGCCTCAACGGTGAACGAGAATTCCCACCGACAGCGACTAGAGTTGTGAGTCTATCCTTCCCTCTATTCTGTCCCGGTCAGTTGATGTTAGGAAGGATATGGTCGAGCCGGAGGAAGTCCACATGAAAACGAGATTTTCCTAGAGGCAATTTGTCTCTCACGATAGGCGTTCACGAAGCTTGGCTTCCCACCTGGCGGGCCAGCGTTATCGAGAGCTCGATTTGTGGCTATCCTTGAGAAGCTGTGCGCCGATACCAACAGCGCCAGAGTTGTTCGTTACGATCTGTTCAAGGCGGAGGTGTGGCGATTGACGAGAGAACAACATCGCCTCAGTGAGGTTCGACTCAACCACGCGGTTTAATACAGTTATGATGTTGCTCAGGTCCGTCCCCTGCTGCCGTTCTCGGAGGCTGAGATAGTAAAGTACCGAGAGGCTTCCGAGGACTGTGAGCATGAGCACACTGGTCGTGTTAGCCTCGCTGAGCTCAGGCTTGCACTGAAAGATATCATAGCGTAGCTTGGGCGGCAAGGCTGTTTTCAATTTTGACCTTCGCAACGATGATTGATGAGGTTGTGTGTAGATCATTCGCCGATGTCACTGAGAATGAGCATGAGTGCACAGAAGGAGCGGACCGGGATGACTTCTCGAGAGAGGTAGGGCTACGTCTTTGGTCAGGCTGGACTGTTCATGTGTGGTGACACTGATGGTGACAGGTCTTTGGTGATGGGCTAGAGTCGGCTTTTGGAGATAATGATGGAGATGTTGATTTCGCGTCTTTCATTATCTTGGCGAGGCATATGAAAATGGGCTGCAGTTCAAACTGGATTATGGTGCTATTCTGTTAGCGATATCCTTAAAACTGACAGCAACATCAAGAACATCTTGATGTTGCAAATCTCCATGCTGCTGTCTCCACTCAGCTGGTGATGTTGTGTCAAGTGAAGCACTGTCGCGTGGGAATCAGCAGGTTATAATCCTGTTACATTATCCCGTATGGCACTCTATTGAACTTGGCCCTGGTGTACGATCCTGTGGGCTCTCTCTGATAGAAGAGCTGGAAACCAGAGTAGGAGAAGTGTGGGGGTGTATTGCTCGACTCGGATCTCCCTGTCATAAATCTTTTTGTATTTGTTAGTCTGTTGCAGCGTTTCCGGCAAGCTTGTGAGGAGATTGTCGTAAAAGCAGGAACGTGGTGGGGTAGTTGGAGTACTTATACGAGTATCTCGAATAGCCACTGATGTGCCGGTGTATCGGCAGTGCTCCTACTCCAGAGGCAATAGTATTACCTCTGGGGTAGGAGCCTTACTGTAATGTAGTATGACCAGGGGTATTACTGGAATACCCCTGATCATACTACAAGAGTGGCTCGAAAATTTGATCATAGAGTATCAAGGTAGTAAAATTCTCGCACCGCTTCGCCTGGCGTAGTAAACACAACAGTCACTTAGTTTAGAGCAGGGTTGAGTTTTCAGTCACTCAGTCACTCTGAGTGACTCACTCACCTGGCAGTGCATTAGCATCTGAAGGCATTACCTTCAAGGCAACGAGCTGGTGACTTTGGTAGCTCAGCTACAATGCCTCTTTGGGCTAGCCGTTACCAGCCTCCCCCGTAGGAAGGTTAAAAAAATTGGTGGAAACAAACCGTGCCTACAACCAATACATTAATAAAGTGTAGTAGAAAAAGACAGAAAGACTTCACATCTTAGATTCTAGCTTGATGTACTCAGTCGTGACGTACTCACTCTTGTTCATAGCGTCACACAGACCAGGGGGACAGGATAGTTGTGCCAAAAGAGTGCTTCGCACTCCCCGTACTTGTGGGGCTCCACTGAGACGCATTTTACGTCTGTTAATGGATTAACTCCGGTAATACGACCACCACTTGCTATCAGATGGCCAGTGACAGTTTGCCATAAACGCTATCATCGTGATTATGTTGTGGTGATACTCTTCACAAGGGAGTGTTTCCTGTTCTCTGTGCACAGTGTTTGTACTTTGTGATCGTGCATAGGGAGAATTGCTTTCCATGTACTTAGGACAACGAGTAGGGGGTAAGATGTGCTCAATACAGAATTGATACACCTTGTCGGCACAGTGAGGTAGCGATGAGAGGACTCCTCCCGGAGGAGGTCCACAGAGATTATAGGAGTCATAAATGAGCATAGTATCACCATGAGCGGCTCACCAATTATGCCGCGGGTGTGTTTCCTAAGAATAAGTTTACAGTATTTATCGAGAAAGGTCAACGACGGACAGACTGTCTTATGTAGGAATAGGATTGAACTGACTCGTAGCGCACGCCCGGAGCTAGTGAACTGAAGCAGGAGCAGTGCTTTGCGATATCTTCTCGCCCCTTACTGCTCGATCCTTCGTCATGACGTCGAAGGGCTCGGTCACTGACTGTCTGTGTGGCTACCCTATTGTAGCGAGGTTTGCAGCGGCGCCTAGGAATTGTGGCACTTGAGCTTCCTAGATTCTCCTAGAATTTTCTAGACTCTTCCAATCAACTGGTATCAATGTCGGCAACGGAACAGCAATACAATTGTCTCCCGGTCAGTATGAATATACGACACATGTGATGACCGCGTTGCGATTAGACTATCACGGTATTGATAGTCTATCAATACCCGGTGATAGTATCACCCGGTATTCGTCCTCTTGCTGAACTAGAAAACGCAATAACAAACTCGTTGGACAATACCAAACAGATCCGTTGTTGATATCTCGGATTAGATGCGATCGGCAACATTCTTTGAGTTGCCAGTAAAGCTGGGCTTAAGAGTTGAATAAAAGGCAGAGGGATGAGTGAACAATATGCGATAGAATTCCCTATCGAGTGTGAAGTCAAGTGTGAGCAGCTCGAGCCTTTTAGCGTCTCAAAATGGGATAATCGATCGCCATATTGACAGCTTTTAGCGGGTTCAGAGCTCCAGCATGCGCCTTGATGGGACTCGAAGAGCTATTGAACCGATCAACGTTGTGGGTGAGCATCCCAGCAACGTACTTTGGCTTAACGCCAATAGAAAGCAAGATCGCGGCTGCTCCAGAGACAATAGGACAGGCGAAAGATGTGCCCGAGGAAAATCTGTCAGCACCGGTGTAGATTCCAGAGCCATAGGCAGCTATATCGACGTTATCACCGTAGTTGCTAAAACCAGCCATTTCAAGAGTGTCCTGGTTCCTGAGAGCACCCACACAGATCACGCGTTGTAGTAGGCAGGGATAGAATGTGTCAGCCCGCTTCCCATTGTTACCAGCGGAGGCGACAACAATGATATTCTGGTCAGTTGCTGCTTTGAACGCCTTGCCCAGGACCATGTCGCCGTAGCTCTTTGATATGAATTCTCCCACTGAGATTGATACGACATCGACTCCAATATCGACGGCCATATCCATGGCTTCAGCCAGATGTGCCCAGCTACCAGTACCATCCTCTCCCTGGGTTTTTAACGACACCAAACGTACATTGGACGCCATTCCGGCCATATCGTTGCTATTGTTCTTCCTGGCCGCGATGAGTCTGGCACACTTCTGACCATGCTGGTGGACCGATGTTAAGTTTGAGGAGTCGTCCACGAAGTTCCAGCCACCATCGATGGATCCACCACTCTTCTTACGAAAGGTACCCCGATAAGGAGCGATCTCAGGATCGCTGAAGTTGAGGCCGGTGTCCATAACGGCTACGTTGACGGTCTGCCTCACATAGGGCGCAGATAATCTCCACACTTCTTCCATGTTCATCCGCTTGAATGCCCTTTGCCTGGAAGCATTGGGGTCATTCACGCCGAGGTCTTCGCTGGTCCCTTCTTTAGTGGCGAAGTTAGGAGAGCATTCACAGTCCAGACCGGAGAGTTTGGAGGCCGCCTCCTTCAAGTAGGCACAAAGATCGTCGGAGCTCACTGTGTCCTCGGAAGTAGCAACCACCTGCAAGCCCGAGGACTTCAAAGTCTTGATAGTTGCCGTCTTCAGGAAGGCGGCCATTCCAGGCTTGAGCGCGACCTTGGCATCTTCGAGACGCTTTGGGACATCCCGAACGTCGACGAAAGCATCGGCGGAGGTGACCGATACGATAGTCTTGCTGTCATAAACGTTTGTGGAGGTCGATGCGGCTATGAGCGGAACAAAGGACAGGAGCTTCATCGCTTCGAATACAGTAACAAGAAACTGTTATGGTGACCCCGTTGAGTTATGATGGCTCCACCTACGAACTTCGCGTCAC